CAGGTCCTGGGTGATGGTGGTACCCAGGAAGCGGAATGAGTCCACAGAGGTGATGGGGGTGTCAGTCAGGATGATGGGGGGGAGTGGGGCTGTGTGCTTCCTGAAGTCCACAATAATCTCCACTGTCTTCTGGGCATTCAGCACCAGGTTGTTGTGGCTGCACCAGGACACCAGACGTTCAACCTCCCTCCTGTAGGCAGACTCATCCCCGTCAGAGATGAGCCCAATAACGGTGGTGTCATCTGCAAACTTGATTAGCTTGACAGACTGGTGGGTGGAGGTGCAGCAGTTGGTGTACAGGGAGAAGAGCAGAGGAGAAAGAACACAGCCCTGAGGGGAGCCGGTGCTGATGGTCCGGGAGTCCGAAACATTCTTTCCCAGCCTCACATGCTGCTTCCTGTCCGTCAGGAAGTCAGTGATCCACCGGCAGATGGGATCAGGCACATTCATCTGGGAAAGCTTGTCTTGGAGATGGTCTGGAAGGATGGTGTTGAAGGCAGAGCTGAAGTCCACAAACAGGATCCTGGCGTAGGTTCCTGGGGAGTCCAGATGCTGCAGGATGAAGTGTAGGGCCATGTTGATGGCGTCGTCTACAGACCTGTTGGCTCTATATGCAAACTGCAGGGGGTCCAGGAGGGGGGCCGTGAGGGTCCTGAGATGGGAGAGAACTAGGCGCTCAAAAGACTTCATGACCACAGATGTCAGAGCCACGGGTCTGTAGTCATTTAGTCCAGTGATCCTAGGTTTCTTGGGGACAGGGATTATGGTGGAGGACCTGAAGCAGGCAGGCACATGACATGCCTGCAGTGAGGAGTTGAAAATGCCAGAAAACACTGGGGCCAGCTCGTTTGCACAGTGTCTGAGGGTGGCAGGAGACACACCGTCTGGGCCGGGAGCTTTCCGAGCATTCAGGTTCTTAAACTGCTTCCTCACATCTGCTTCATGAATATGAAGAGTTGTGGTGGGAGGAGGTGGTGTGAAATCCTCTTTTGTGTGGAGTGAGGAGGGGGGTGTTGTAGGTGAACAGTTTGAAGGTGGTGATGGCTCTATGGAGGGGGGAGAGGTGGGGGAATTAGTGTCCAAAGTGCCTCTATTGTTGGGGCCGTTGGAGGTGTGAAGGCTGCCTGATGGCTCGTCAAAACGGCAGTAGAAGTCGTTAAGGGTGTTGGCGAAGAGCAAGTCATCAGTGGAGTGGGGGTTTTAGGCTTGTAGTTTTAGATTAGATTAGATTAGATAGAACTTTATTAATCCCTCGGGTGGGTTCCTCTGGGAAATTCGATTTCCAAAAAAGCACAGCACCGACAGAAGTTACAGAGTTATACACACACACATATATATAAATACAGAGACAAATATAAATAAAATATACAAAGGGGATAAATAGAATAAATAGGAATAAAAATAAAAATACAAGTGAATTGCACATTTCAAGTATTGAGTCTATTGCACCGTTGACTATTTACAAAAGTATTGCACAAAAGGTATTGCACAGTGAGGTGAAGAGGCACTACAGCTTAGTTGTTCCCCCCTCCTTTGTCCTCCTGTTTCCCCTCCCTCTCCCCTCTAGAGAGGAGTTAAACAGTCTGATGGCGTGTGGGACAAAGGAGTTTTTAAGTCTGTTAGTTCTTGTCTTTGGGAGAAGCAACCTGTCACTGAACAGACTCTTCTGATTGTTTATGGCCGTGTGCAGAGGATGCCCAGCATTGTTCATAATGTCCAGCAGTTTCTTTAATGTCCTTTTCTCTGCCACTGTCACCAGAGTGTCCAGCTTCATGCCGACCACAGAGCTAGCCCTCCTGATCAGGTTTCTCCAGCCTGGATGAGTCCCTCTTTGCTGTGCTGCTCCCCCAGCACACCACAGCATAGAAAAGTATTCCAGCAACCACCGACTGGTAAAACATCCTCAGGAGCTTCCTGCAGATGTTAAAAGACCTCAGCCTCCTGAGGAAGTACAGTCGGCTTTGGGCTTTTTTATACAGGTGCTCTGTGTTGCATGACCAGTCCAGTTTATTGTCCACCCACAGCCCGAGGTACTTGTACTTGTTGACCACCTCCACCTCCTCTCCCTCTATCTGAACCGGCAGTGGACCTGCTCTAGACCTCCCGAAGTCCACAACCAGTTCCTTAGTCTTTGAGGTGTTGAGTTGCAGGTGGTTTGTGTGACTCCATGCGACAAAGTTCCTCACCAGACTTCTGTACTCCTCTTCCTGATCATCCCAGATACACCCCATGATGGCTGTGTCGTCTGCAAACTTCTGAATGTGGCATAATTCAGAGTTGTAGCAGAAGTCAGAGGTGTACAGGGTGAAGAGAAGAGGGGACAGCACAGTTCCCTGTGGTGCTCCTGTGCTGCTGACCACTGTGTCAGACGTGATGTCCTTCAGCCTGACGTACTGTGGTCTGTCGGTGAGGTAGTCGGAGATCCAGGCCACCAGGCAGGGGTCCACCTCCATCCTGTTCAGTTTTTCTTGAAGCATACAGGGCCGGATGGTATTAAAGGCACTGGAAAAGTCAAGAAACAGGATCCTGACCGTGCCTTTTCCCCCATCCAGGTGTGAGTGGGCTCTGTGTAGGAGGTACAGGATGGCATCCTCCACTCTGACACCCGCCTTGTATGCAAACTGTAGTGGGTCCTGGGCATGTTGTACCTGTGGTCGGAGGAGGTTGAGGAAGAGCCGCTCTAGAGTCTTCATAAGATGTGACGTCAGTGCCACCGGTCGGAAGTCATTCAGCTCATTGGGCCGGTTCTTTTTGGGGACCGGGACGATGCAGGATGTCTTCCAGAGGGCGGGCACTCTCCCCAGTCGCAGTTTGTGATATTCCTAAAACCTTTCCACACAGAGGCCGAGTCATTCTCTGAGATCTGCTGCTGCATCTTCTCAGAGTGCTGATGTTTAGCAATGTCCACTTCTTTAGTGAACCTGTACTTGGCCTCTCTGTAGCAGTCCCTGTCTCCGCTTCTGAACGCCTTTCTCTTTTCCAGCCACAGCTTTTTGAGTTTAGGAGTAAACCAGGGTTTGTCATTGTTATAACTCACCCTGGTGCGTGATGGCACAATGCTGTCCTCACAGAAGTGGATATAGGAGGTGACACTGTCCGTAAACTCGTCCAAGCTGTTAGAAGCAGCCTTCATTGTGTCCCAGTCTGTAGACTCCAAACACGTGCGAAGCTCCTCCACAGCCTCGTTGCTCCACAGTTTTTTAGTCCTCACGACAGGTTTGGAGAGCTTCAGCCTCTGTCTGTACGCGGGGATTAGGTATATCAACTCATATCAAGGCAAGGCAAGGCAAGTTTATTTGTATAGCACAATTCAACAACAAGGTGATTCAAAGTGCTTTACAGAGACATTAGAAACAAGAACAAATAAAAAGCATGATTTAAAATTGATTAAAACAAGCAAATAAACTAACTAACTAATTAACAAACAAACAAACAAACAAACAACAGTATATAAAATCAAAACATAAAATCAGAACAGTAGATAAAATCAGTAGTTAAATGTAAGTTTTGAAATTTAAGCTTAAAGTGTGGATTTGGTGCTTTATTCAAATGCAGCTGAGAACAGGTGAGTCTTCAACCTGGATTTAAATAAACTGAGTGTTTCAGCTGATCTGAGGCTTTCTGGGAGTTTGTTCCAGATATAAGGAGCATAAAAGCTGAATGCAGCTTCTCCGTGTCTGGTTCTGACTCTGGGAACTGATAAAAGACCGGATCCAGATGACCTGAGGGATCTGGATGGTTCATACTGGGTCAGGAGGTCATTGATGTATTTTGGTCCTAAACCATTCAGAGCTTTATAGGCCAGCATCAGAACTTTAAAGTCTATCCTCTGACGGACAGGCAACTCATATCATACTCATATCAACATGCAGCAGACTCTCATTGTAACGTCTTCTGGAGTTCATGAGGTTAAGAATTGAGGCTGTACTCACTATGCTGTATTAACGGAATGGATTGAATGGATTTGATTGATATCGGTGCCACTGTCAGTTCAGTTTGTGGGTTTGAGTCTTTCTCAGTTCACTTACTCTGGTCTCTTTTTTAAAAAGAGTAGTCCTAAACAGGTTTTTCAATGTCAGCACGACTGTTTTTTTTTTTAAGTCTCTGTGCCTAAACACAATGTACAAACAAAAGATTTGCAGGTGACTCAGGTGTGCCAAAGCTCCCATGCTGTGAATTTACGTCATTATCTTGTAGTGCACATGAAACCAGTATTGAAAAGGATTTAATAAGCTTGGAGGCACTCAGTTGGACAATTTGGAAAATCTGTAACCAGGATAATTCTCCTGGCACTCATGTTCCACAGAGGATGAATCCCAATCCCCCCCTCTGAAGTTCATACTCCTTTAGTGAAGCTGAATTGTGCAAGTTGCATCTGGCAGATGGGAACGGTGGAGCAGCATGATGACTTTGGCATGGATCTACGATTGCTTCTTTGCTCTGTAGACCCCCCCCTGGGGCCCCTAAGAGAGGTGATATTAGAAAGAAAGTAGAGGGGTGGGTGGATGGGGCATGGAGAATGAGAACAAACAGGCGTGCATGGCAGGAATCCATTTATAGGCATATAACAGGAAAAGAAGCGTCTAAGTTGTGGTCCTGCTTCTATACATCAGTTAAAGCGGTTTCCAGTAAGTTTCTCTTCTGCTTTTTGTTTTGTGATAATGTTAGCATGCTGGCACATTAAAGATGGTAAATATATCTGCTCAGCAATCTTTTAAAAGTCCCAGTCCAGCCTAATGAGGCCTGTAGACTCGTATTTGTGTGAAACAGGTGAAGGAAACCCTCCCTCCCTTCTGAATTAATTATTCACCTTTCAGAGCTCAGCGTTCTGAATAAAAGCTTATATTTGCTTAAAGTCAAACCACATGATGTCAGCAGAACCTGCTTTGAATGCAGGTCACTGCAGCATGTGTACAGGAATGCATCCTCAGACACATGCAGGGTTTGTCTGTGTCGCTCTGTGGCTGCCTGTCTAAACTGTGTTCATCCGGTCCCCGCAGAGGCATGGCTCAGATCAGGAAGCTGGCATGCGACGGCATCAGGACGAACTCCCGCGGCGAGCCACAGGTCCCGCTGGTGTCAGCCAGACAGGAGATCCTCACCAGCCTGGTGTCTGCCCTCGACTCAGTGGTACGTTCATAATCAAGGGTCATACAGCGTTATTTCCTGTTGGAGATTTTGACATGTGGGGCCAAAATGACATTTTTTTCCTAAACATTTCATGAAATCCACCTTAAAAGTGTTACTATAGTTTTTACTTTTTCTGTTTATGTGAGCATGCATTGAATATAAGGGAGGAATAGTGTATTTTGCTTAATTCCAAGAAAATAAGGACGCAGTTCTTCTAGTAATATCAAGATTGTTAATAATTTTTGTTAACGTGTTTCAAGTAAAAGCCAGTAAATGATTCCTATATGGAGGAGGTCTTGCTCCATACTAAGAAATGCAAGCTTATGAGAAACAGCAAAGTCATTGTCTCTGCAAATTAAATAACTTCATTGGTCTAATTTAACTGTGTATATAGTTTGGGGGAGGGGGGTCACCAGGCGTGTTGTCCACTTACAGAAGTCCTGCGTTTATTCCTGGATTCATTTTGGCTAATAAATAAACCGCCATGCGTTGACTCTTACAGTTTTGATCAGAAGTAGTCATACACTTTTAAACTCTAAATTCGACAACTTCATGGTCAACTGAAATTTGCAGCTGCAAACCTGGACGAGCCAAATCCCCTCTGGAGAAGTTTTATGGTTATACGAGACAATAATTTAGCTATTTAGTTGCAGTACAAGAGTTATAGTTGGAGGACCAAAGGTTAGGCTTTCAAACTTAAGGAAGGTCGGTGTCAAGTATGGAGGTGGTAGAATCATGCTCTGGGGCTGTTTTGCTGCCAGTGGTAGTGGATGGAATAATGAATAATGAATGAATGAGGCAGAGTGCTTCCAAATTCTATAACCTAACCTCAAATCAACAGCCAGATGGTTAAAACTTGGACACAACTGGGTGTTCCAACAGGACAATGATCCCAAACACGCACTGAAGCTGGCTTAATATTCGGCTTTTGAAATGGGCTTCCCAAAGGCCCGACCTCAACCTTATTTCAAATTAGAAGAGTATGCTTAAAAGCCATTCATGTGCCAGGAACCTGACCCGGTCAAATATCCAGCCAGAATTATGCCAGAAGCTTACTGACTGGAACCAAAAGCATCTGGTCAAAGTACAACTTGTAAGGACGTGTGTTTGTGTAATTTGAGCCTCTATGTGTCCTTTAAACCACATGTGGATTAGAGAAAATCTAAAAAAGGAAACAACTCAGTTCTTGTTTTTGAATGTCATTAGAGATGCATGTTGTACAATTATTGTACTCTGAATAAAGAACAGTTCAAGGAAACCCTTAAAAGCCAAAAATTACAAAGATTCATGCCCAACATGGAAGTGTACGTGAAATTCTTCACCACAACTGGAAGTCGTCACTGACATTTTCATTTTGTTTGCTTAAGCCATCAGTTTACAAAGTGTTTCGGTCCTTTGTAAACCTAAAAGCTTCCTTGTTTTGCAGTGCATGGCGATGTCTAAACTAAACGCCGAGGTGGCGTGCGTCACCGTGCACGAGGACAGCGTGATCGCCGTCGGCACAGAAAAGGGGAGAGTGTTCCTCAACTCCAGGAGGGAAATCCAAACAGACTTCTACAAGTTTTGCCGTAAGCACCGCTCTGAACATCGTTTCCCATAATTCATTCAGTCTTAGTAGAACATCGATCACTCTCATTACAGCCGCAGCTGTGAGGTCGTTACTTAAAATACGCTTGTGTCACTTGTGTCCCCGAAGAAATCTTCGTTTTGTGCTTGCACAGATGCAGATTATCTGAGCTTTAATAATCACGGCAGCTTACCTCAACATCAAATGATGTCGCCATGAAATAAATCACCAAAGCAGATGCAGAGCCACATTTCCCCCCCTTTTTATCCCAAATAACAATACATCAGCAAAGTGTCTCATCATATCTTATTTAGCAAAGCCATTTGATGAATTATGTTTACAAATTTACTGACAGTACTTTATAGCACTCCTTTTAAAAACCCACCGTGCATTTGTAGGAGGAGGAGATAAATTAATATTCCATTTTTCTATTAGAACTGAGCAAAGTAATGGAGCGGACAAACACTTTCATAACAGTTCTGACTCACACCACAGGTTGTTTACAACAGCAATTTGGCCAGTAAACGATACTTTGTTTGTTTTGTTTTTTTGCTATAATTTATCACTTCCTTTTGTGCCGATGCTACAAATAATGTTTTTTAAAAATCCAACTTTTCACTTAGCCAGCACAAGATTCATGTGACTCAAGAGACCCTAACCCACAGACATATATTATTGTCATATTTTTTGGCTGGAAGACCAATATTATCTTGGTTTTTTGTTATATTTGGTTTTTTGTGTATATTTATTGTTGATTTTGTGTCTCTTCGCGTCTCTTACTCCTTCCTTTTACTCTCATTTCCATTAGCTATGCTAGCATCCAAGGTTGTAAGTTGAATATATTTTAGAAGTTGGCATTGGTCCATTTAGCCCCCTTTGTTCACCTTACTTGAGAGGTAAGGTGAAGCAACAGATAATACACTCAGTTCGCAGTATATCCTCCCCCGTAACCATGGACAGTTTAAAAGATGGACGTAGAGTCCAGGTCTGAAAAGTCAAGCAGTGGACAGCTGCCTTTGGCTGAGCCACGTTCTGTGGAAGGTTTCTTCCTATTGAAAAGCAGTTTTTCCTTCTCACTGTCGCCCACTGCTCATATTGTATGATTGTTGGGGGTTTCTCTTTATTAATGTAGGGTCTTTACCTGACAACATAAAGCACCTCGAGGTGATTTGTGTTGTGATTTGGCACATACTGAATATTAAACTGAATATTTGAATGCTTTCATGGTCAGATCTATCCCTGTCTTGTCAAGATGGCGACTGCTAAAAACGCTACAGGCTTCGCAACAGGACATCAGAGCCCACTGGGTGATGTCACGCTAGCCCCGTCCTTCTTTTATACTGTCTATGCCCGTAACACCAGTTCATCAAGTTTAATTTTCATCAGGCATCTGTTACTGAGAACATTGGCTCAACTTTGCTTTGATTTATTTAAGACTCAAACTGAACGGCTTAATGTTCCCCGCTTTATTGGAGATTATTTTCATTCATCTAGGCACATTGTTGGAAAAACAAGTCATTCGTTTTATATGACACTATTTTTCAAAAGGTGACATAGTCATTAGTTTTAGGAACCAGACTCTCAGTCATTTGTTTTTTGTTTTGTTTTGTTTTTAACCTTCAAAGACAAATGAATGACTTTGTTGGGGTAAAGAGTTTACTTAATCCTAAATCATACTGTAGCTCATTTGGACATTTTTAAAGTCATTTCTCTTTTATTTGGGGTCAGGGGTGCCATGCCTGCAAAATCTGACTGCAGCAAATTCCCATACCAAAGACCAGGAGGGCGATCTCAGCAAACTGAGTAAGGATGCTGAACATGGGAAACCGAGAGCTCCATCAGATGCCCAGTCCAACATCTTTGTTCTGAGGAAGATGGTGGAGGAGGTCTTCACTGTGCTCTACAGTGAGTAGTCCCTTTTTTAAACCAGATTTTTTCATAAAGCAGTGCCGAAGCAATCCATGTTTGGAGCATAGGGAGCCACTTTTATATAGTTTCTTGGAAGTCAGGTAGCAAAACTCAGTGCGTCATGCGGTATGCAGGTGAGGCTGTGGGAAAGAGCAGCCTGGTCCCTGTGCCTTATGAGTGGATCCAGAAGGACCCCGGCTGCGTGGTGGCTCATGGTTTGCCTGAGGGAGTCGCCCTGAAGAAGCCCTCTGAGTATGACACCAAGACACTGATGAAGATCCTGGAGCAGAGCCATCGCATCCACTTCACCGTGAAAAGGTGAGTCTGCAAAGTGAGAGACTGTGAATGGTTGGATCGCATTCTGAAAGCAGTTGTTGCATTTCTGATAACTCCAATGTGAAGATGAACTTGTGTTAGTTGCCCTGATATGTTTTCTTGTGCAGTTTTTAATTGGAAGTGAACAGACTTTGGTGCATCCGTCGTAGATAGAGTTTTAAAAGATACAATTAATTTACGTGGAAATACTGGATGTATTTGTGTACAAACTTAGTAAATGGAGGTGCACGCATGTTGGAGTTTATAAAGAAGAATAAATATGGAGCTATAATCAGCTGCCTCACCAGTAAGTCTCCATGTCCACCGTGTCGGACTGTAGCGTGCAGTTGGTGCTCATTCTTCCAGCTCTACGTAGCGACATCAGCTTTGAATGATCCTCAAGCTGAGAGTGGCTCTACAGAGCAGAAGCACTATCATCACCAGCTCCACTCCAGTTGGTGTGGATGTCCGACCAAGGGACGAGAGACTGCTGAATATCATAAACAAGAACAGCAGCTTGACTGGCCTTCCTATAGCAATCAAACAGAATAAAAAATTAAATGGCTACAAAAAAGAAACATTTAAGGCGTGTTTTAGTCGTCTACCTTTAATCTACTTGGTCAGCTGCTTCTAAAAAATGATATTTTAATGTGTTTCATTGCTTTTCATGGGTGACAAAATGTTGCACATAGCACAAATACGGCTCTAATTGTCGCTATGCTTGTGTAGGTAGATAAAGTCCAGCTGAAATATGTTCTAAATAAAGTTAAATGTACACAGATTTTTGTCATTTGGAGAGATGCATGTAAACTACAACATGTGCTTATCCAAAAACAGCTATGCTGTTTTGTCCTTAGCCTTAGATGTGGTGCAGATGTTCTGCTTTTGGTTTCAGCCACATAAATAATTAACGATAGCAGGCACATAATTGTTAGCAGTGTCGGAAAAATTAGAGACGCGCCTTTCAAGTAGACAGAATATTGAATTTGGTGGTGGTGGCTGTTCGGCCAGTCTTTAAAGACTGCTCTCAACCCAAAACTGCTCTCAAATGACTGTGCATAGTTGTGGCAGACTTGTGAGCTTTACAAGTGCAGTTTGTACATATTATTTAGAGGAGATCCACACAGTCCTGACCGCTGCAGTCGTCTTTAGCTTTGCATGTTTCTCCTGTTTGCATGTTTTTCTCATGTTTTGCCAGCTAATACTTTGTAGTGCATACTTCTGTTTTTGCTGTTTTGTCGTGGTCCACTAACAGCAGTAGTAGCGTGTTACATCCTACCAGACATCTAGTTGCATAAACTGTTCATGTTTCACTAAAACAGCTGTCAGCGCTTGCTCCCCAGTGAACAGCTTATATTGCAAATGCTGTATAGTGAGTGGGTAAACAAGTGGACTGTTTGAACACAGGCCCTGTAACTCCACAGAGGCTTAATCTGATGCCGTTTTTCCCTGAATTCACTGCTTAGCACATATTTATGTGGCATGAAAGCAATGATTTGTGCCCCTGCCCTGTTAGTGGGCGTGTTGAACTGTGTAGCCAGCTCTACAGTAATCTCCGCTGAGCTGGATACCTGTCCCCATGACAACAGTTGCTCTGTAGCACTCTGTAACAGGGTAGTATGAACTCTGAATATCAGCTAAAGTACTTGGCAAGAGTTCAGACTGAGAACAGTGCTGTATTACAATAATGAAAGTGGCTGTGTTATTAATCAAACACTGTATAATCCAAGAAATCCACTTTGAGTAATAGATCCATTAATTTAAAGGCTTAACAGACACCAAAACTCTGCACAGCATTTATTGCGCCACGAGAAAGGATTTTTTTAAAAACTTGGAAAGTCAAAACGGCAGAAATGATTTCACTCGTGGTTTGTGAGTGTTTGTGGAAGAAGAAGCACTGGTGCTGGAGCAGGCCAGGATCAGCAGTCACAAGACTGAGGACCACATTCTTTTTTAGCTCAGTCTCATTTATTCATTAAGACTTTATTTGATCAAGCAGCTGCAAAAAATGATTTTATTAGGACGTATTAAAATTTGCAACATGACAGTTGTTTCAGACTCTGTTCTGTGTGTAATAAAGCTAACTGTCACATGTTTGCCCAAAACAAATTGGGGAATTTCCTCTCTCTACTGCTGTATAATGAAGCTGAATATGAACATGCAGCACTGTGAGACTGTGCAGAATTTAATTGGAGTTTTGGGCCTGTTTGAAAAGCAAAGGGCTGGAGGCAGCAAGTAAAGAGACCAAATGATGTTATTAAATGCCTATTATTTAATTCTTTTTGGTATCAAGGATGTTCTAACCAATCAGGCAGCAAATCATAACATAATAGTCACATGTTTGTAGCCCTACAAGTTATTTCCCTTTTTGATTTTGTTGTTGTCTTTGTGAACAGGCAACCGGAAGATTTGTCTCGAGAAACCAAGTCTAGCACTGATGTCAATCACAACGCTTCCACTGCGGTCATGACGCAAAGCAGCCACGGCCCAGCGAAGACAACCGCGCAAGCAGTCACGTCGTCAAGTCCCGCCACTTCCAGCAACTCTGTTCTGTCAAACTTCCTGTACGGCATGCCCATGTCCTCCAAACCCCACCCAGACGGCAAGCTGGATTTCAAACCCATGTCTCTCCTCAACCTGGGCAAGGACAGGCTGGCCAACTGGACACCTGGGTCAGAGAAGAGCACATCTGTGAAAGACAGTGCTAACACTGGTAAGCTAACATACAACATGTGTAAAGGTGGATTTCAGCAATGGAATAGGGGCGAGGTGAGTTGTTATGTCAGAGTCTCGGGGTTAATAGTATATCCAGCTAGGGGGGACGTGTTGCTGGCCGTGCCTGCTAGTTGGAAGCAGCAACTGGAGACAGTGCTGGCTTCCAACCTACTGAACACAGCTGTTTTCTGGTCTTTGCATCACTAAAGAAAGCACCTATAGGTCTTTGTTTTCTTTTATGGACATTACCTCAAACAGTGCAGATGAGGAGGGCACAGAGTAAGAAAGGAAGAGACTGTGGTTCATTTACAAAAATAAAAGATGCCACATGCAGAATAAGCACTTTTCTTGCTTCTGAAATGGTGATTTATAGCCGTGTTTTTAACAGATGTTTATGATGTTTTGTGAAAGATGTCTGTGAAGCTGATTATTCATAGTTTAACAGTTAACTGTCCCCACCGACTTCTCTACATTCGGACCTTCGGCTGGTGCTGGCACTACTAACTAGGAGTGTAACAGTCCTCCTAAACCATTCAAAGAAAATCATTTTGCTGCAGCTTTGATCACTTGATCATAATTAGATCATAAACAAAAATCAGCTGCAGTATTGTGATGCATGTCCAGTTCACTTGTTACCTGATGAGCCACAGTCAACAAGCTGATTTGACACATGCGTGCCACACATTTAAGAATGGGATGAAGGGCTTCAAATTGCTCTTTATTACACATGCAGTGTTTGTAGGGAAATGTTTAACCACATTCATTAGATTGGGCCCAACTGTTTCATGCCCTTGTGTTTTCCCCCTTCCTTCTGAATGACCGTCACTAGTTACTATAAAACACCGAAAACTTGAATTCAAGAAGAGTAAGAGCTATTATATGAATGTAGTATAAAAGTAAGATCCAGATGATGATCCTAATGTTAACAATACACAGTAAAAGCTCTAGGTAAGTATTTTCTCCTGTGCCTCAGGTCTGAATAGAAGAGTTAGATCTGCAGTTAAAGACCATTGCCGTTTGGTATTTCACTCAAGCACTACTTTTCCTTGTTATACTCGCATCTTAGAGGAATCATTTCATTCATAGCCCTCGGTATTCAGTATGTTCACTTAGGTTTGAAATGTCAGTAGTTTTCTCATAAATGTAGACAAATATTACAAAACACAGTTTAGGTTTTACTCTCAGTCATGTTAGTCATGTGTGCAGGCAACATGTACACCCAAAAATTAAGACAGGTTCAAATATTGGTGACCTTGACTTCAAGGTCAAGGTCAGGTTTTCTGAGACTAATTTGAGAAAGATCTCACCATAAGTGTATCTATTAGGAGGCTGAGGGGTATCACTGGTTATGTGCATCTTGGCAGTGAATATAAGCATGACAAGTTAACATTTCTGCCTGAAATGTGTTTATTTTTGCATTTTTAGATGAGACCACAAGGCTACCTGGTGAGCAGGGTCAGAGCCCTACTGGCATCCACATCTCAAAGAGGCTACTCTTCTCCATCGTGCATGAAAAATCAGGTACGTTTGAATTACCGAGACGATATAGGCATTTGGCTTCATTTTAAATGGTTGTGGTAATTGCTAGTGCTGATGGGTTTGAGATTTCTTCATTGATGCTATTTTGTACTTGACAGCTAAACAGAAGGATTTAAAGCTCATGTGAAATATTTCAGCTATACACATAGTCACAATATTACCCTTATATTTCCTCTCATTAAGGCTTCAAATTTGGATAAAAGGCTGTCACTGCGCTTCCCTCATATTATATCACAACTAGTTCTTAGCATCAAAGCTCCTTTTTTTGTGGCTGCAGCGTAATAGCAGTAATGGGTTTTACAGATTCATCGGATGAGTTGATTAAAGAGCTTTTTCTTCCATTTTCCAGTTTCCTAACTTATTCTTAGCGATTATATAAATACATATAGACATGAGAACTGTACATTGTCCAGCACTGAACTGAAGATGTTTTTGAGGTCGTTAGGAAACCATGACGACGCCGTAGTTTATCAAACGGTGATCACAGATGTGTCATTTTCAGGCTTAAAGCTCAACTCAGATTTTATTTTATTAATAACGAGGTTCAAAGTCCTCTTAAAATTATTCCTGTTACACTATATGTCATGACAGGTTTGGATTTTACTTAAATCTACAACCATAGAGGAGACTTTGCATGCTGTTATTATTGTTCCTGCCGGGATTTGGAGGCTGATATGTACAGTAGCCAAGCACTGTTTACTGAACTGAGGCTGACCTGTGCGAAAACTTAAACAAGAAGGGCTAAGCTATTGAGAATAATCCTTTAAGAAGATTGCACTGATTTACCAAGTTGTTGCTGAGTAAATGGAAAAGATTAATTTCAGATCCTTAGCACTACAGTCAGATAAAACACTTTGAGAGGCTAAAGCTGCAGTAAACTTTGATGTAAGGACCGCATTTCCTTCTCTCTGTTTTCGTACAGAAAAATGGGACGCGTTCATTCGGGAAACAGAAGACATCAACACGCTGAGAGAGTGCGTTCAGATCTTGTTCAACAGCAGATACGGTGAGGAGGTCCTCTTACTACACAAATGGCTAAAAAAACAGCTCAACGTGAAGACGTGTGCAGCAATGATGCATTAAAAGCATGTAAGGATGCTCGCAAGCAAACCAGCTGCAGGATCCTCGTGCTGTCTTTAATAGAGAAAAGCTACCAAATGCAAAAGTTCACCATTTGGAATCAAGTCAAGAACTTTTTATCTGCGTGACTTGAGATGATGGATCAGCGTTGCCTGCCCTAGACAGACAGACACACACACACACACACACACACACACACACACACACACACACACACACACACAGAGATTTATTTGACAGAGAGCAGAGATACGAAGATGAACTTGTGTGTATTTGCATGGTTCATCAAGGCAGTTTAAGAATTAGTCATGTCACCTCCAGTCCAATGATCCGTGTTTCTGGATGCAAATTTCCCACCCTTATGGGATTTTTCATCAGTTTGCTCTCAAATGTACGGATTTGTGTCCATGTACACAAAAGGGTTGATTGATACTTTTTCTCTGCAGTTTTTTAATTTATCAGTGAGAGGATAATTATCATTGTCTCAATACAAGGAAGGATAATTATAGTTTAAATATAAGGACTCACAAATATCAGCAGATTCCTGGAAATTGCTGAAATTATTGGAATGGACGTGTGAGAATATACAAAGAAGTGGAAACACTGTAGGGAAAAAATGACCACAACAAAGAGAGGTCCATCACCATAACCCCACTGGAGGCTGCTAGTGCTAATGAGTTAACTATATTTTGTAGATTTAAAATGTAAGAATTTTCTCTGTTTTCTACCTCCAGCTGAGGCATTGGGTCTAGATCACATGGTGCCTGTCCCCTACCGCAAAATAGCCTGCGATCCAGGGGCCGTGGAGATCATCGGCATCCCCGACCAGATCCCCTTCAAGAGACCGTGCACATACGGAGTCCCCAAGCTCAAACGCATCCTGGATGAGCGCCACGGAATCCGCTTTATAGTCAAACGGTAACAAATGCTTTAAGACAAGAACTGGTGAAAGTGCATGACATCATTTCTTGTACTCTCACTGTCAGAGTGTTGTAGTTAGAACAAAGAAGCACCTGGATGCATATTTTTTACAAATGTCTAATTTACTCACTGACCAGAGATCCATCCAGATTTACCCACTTGATGCTTAATTATCACCAAACTGCAGAACGGCGTCCCTACAGAAACTTTAATTTGGGAAAGATTTTTTTAAGAAGCAGCTACCAGCCACGCCAGCCTATACCATCTGTTTGTTAAATGTCTGTTTCCTTCAGCACACTACGTCCCGCTGAGTGGTAAACCATTTCCATTCATGTCCCAAATGACTTTCCCTTGCCAGCGCATTGCGCTAATGGCTGCTCTTCCATCCATTTGTTTGAGCTAATTTAAATGAGCCACCATGCCTTGTTTGAGATAACACATCTTTTAACGAATCCTGCAGGCAGCTCATTAGCCTTAATACAATTAGGAAAGATTGAAAATGTCATTAATTCAGATCAAATCACATTCCCATTGTCTGTGAGAGATGTTCCAGATGCAGGCAGCGATGTGCTTTTTTGGCATCTTCTCTGTTGTCAGTCTATGATCATTTTTATACAAACAGTAACTGTAACTGAAGTGTTGTGCTCATTTAGTTCTGCAGCCATGCTATTAATTATTCTCAGGTGATGTCCCGTGTAATAACCACCCGAGTTTCACTCGTCGCACGCTTCACTTTGTGAAAAGATGCTGAAAATATAAGAAATGTAAAATCCCGTCAGTTTTAGGTTAACAGGCTCACTAAACTGCTGACATTACTGAGAATAAGGTAGTCGTTATTAACTATTATTAAGTCTTTTTTTAAATACAAATAGTAGTCATACACACTTTCATATGGTCTATATCAGCGGTCCCCAACCTTTTTTTGCACCACGGACCAGTTTAATGTCAGACAATATTTTCACGGACCGGCCTTTGAGGTGTCGCAGATAAATACAACAAAATAAAATGATACGACCAAGAGAAAAGCTGTGGTATTTTGTAAATATAATAATAAACAGAAAGTCACTGTGTAATTGTGTAACTTCGTTAGCAGTGTCCTCCTGAAGTGCGTCAACAACATTGAGAGTAACATCCTCCTCTCTGCTCCTTAATGCTCTCTGGTCGCTATGGTAACGCGTAAATATTTCTTTCAAAGTAAGACACACAACTACAACACGGGAAAAGACCCTGAAAACCATACATTTCACACCCGAGCCTCAACTCTCGCGGCCCGGTACCAAACAACTCACGGACCGCCCCGGGGGTTGGGGACCGCTGGTCTATATGGTCATCAAGGCAGCTCTGTGTTTTTCTTCAAAGTGGACAGCCAATCAGAAAAAAGTTGGCTTAAAAAAGGTTATTTACAGAATTAGAGGCAGTAGATGAGCCTTCTCTCATCTCATCAAGTGTCTTCCTCGTGTTGAAAATGAAAATCGTAACACTGTGGTGAAGACCAAACTGTCTTCACTGCTAATGGGTTGGACTGAAGACGCGCGTCGTCTCGTTAGTGCTCCTTTTTTATTGTAGCATCAACTTCAGAATTTAAACCTGCCTCACACTTTATTAAATAATGTCTATAAATTCCCTTCAGCCTCAGTTTAACATGAACACCCTTAGATAGATTCATAGTTAAAAGAGCAGGCAACCATTCTGCCAGCCGTCAGACTTGATAATATTCACATAGACAAAAAGTGATCTGGGCTTCACTAAAACCACAAATTCTCTCACTAAAAATACTATAAAAAAGCTAAAAGTGCTATAATTAATAAATAGAGCTAAATTTAAAAAATGAATAAATAAATGATACGTATGTGCACAATTTGCTTTAGCTTATTCAGATTATTAATATCAGCTGGGACAAAGTTGTCTCTGTCCTGTGAGACCACTAACGTCCACCCAGAGTAAAGAAGCTCCGAATCCCCACATAAGGAGTGGGAGTCATTATTGAAATGGAGCCGGTCGTCCACCTGTCTGGTATACAGATACTTAAGGTTAAGCTGCGATTTACCGATCAGCTTCCCTGACCAGTTTCAGTTTGGATCAGTTTGTTCCGATCCTTCAAAGATGGGTTACCGTACTATGACGCAAAGGAATAGATCTGACTCAAGAAAAGATCTAAAAAATAAATGGATAGTGTCTCAATGGTCTTATCAGTGTAACAGGAGTACAGTTTCCATAAACAGAACAAATGTTGATGAGCCTTTTTTCTCTGCTTCACAGTTTGTACCAAAATTCAGTCTTGAATCAATAAAAGCCCCAAAATACAAAAGACTGCATATAGTCCACAGTTTGACCCTTATTGTTTGTGGCGTCAGGTGTGCTGGAATTTCTCCTCAAATCCACAATCACTTCTTCTGTTATGTTGAGCTGAAGGTAAGACTGTGCTCAACACCAGGTCCATGGGCGGTTTCCTTGCCAACGATGTCACACAAATACAAATACCATGATATGATGAAAAATACTCATAAATGTCTTTCTGGTGTCTAAGCTGTAATATTTTGCCCTATTAAGACCTTAGAACAACAGTGTAGTTTCTTAAGTTTGTAAGTAAATAAGACCTAAGATTATGATCACGCAGGAGAAGAACGCTTCACTGGCAGGCAGAGAGTGGCAGTATGTGCCAGAAGGAAGGGGAAGCAATCCAGGAGTATATCACAGTTAATCCACAGTTAATTTTAGTCAGAGGAATTCGGGGCTCACAAAAGGAACGACTCAGTTATGTTTGATTATGTTTGACTGATTGTTTAAAGAGCAGCTAATGTGCTAAAGCAGCCGTTAACAATGTTCCACTTCTGCAGTTTTTTGCAACTTGAGTTTTGTCCTGAGAGCTGAGGTGGTCTTTAAACAGACTCGCTCACAGCCTGTGTTTCTTTCTCTCTTCCAGAATGTTTGATGAGAGGATCTTTACCGGTAAGAATGTGATTGATTCTGTTTGTTTCTTTCCCCTTTCTTAGAAGAATAGAAGTTGGGGTCATGTCTCTAAAAATACTTAAAACAACAAGAACCTAAACATCGAATGTGCTTGTACTTTACTAGTGTATTTACCTGCTGCATCTTACTTTAAATGTAGTGTAACCCTCATAAGAATAGGATGTACTCACTGCCTTAGGCCCCTGTTATACTGGCCTTGCAGTGTGCACCGTCACATCTGCTGTCACTGTAACCTGGTGCCACTGTGTGGAAGACATGAGTGTCACTTTTTACTACCGTTTTAATAATTTATCTGTACAGAAGCTCAGAGATTCACAGATTATACAGCGGGAGATGCTACAACAGCTTGAAAAGATGACGCTTTGTGGAAAAATCTCTGAAATTTCTTTGCCCCTGGGTTTGACTTGCGCTCCTCCTACACCAGCGCTGATGCCGAAGTTTTGTCTGAGTGGCGACGCCTCATCATTCAGGAGAATACTGCAGTGGGTAGCTGTGCCGTAAAGGCCGGCAGAAATGGATGTGTGCATGATGATGTAATCGGTGGTGCATGAAGCGGCCAGTGAGGCGGGTGTAATGACCCCATCAGTTGTAGCCATAGATAGCTTCTGTGCTTAAAACCCACAATATTTTTAATGGCCAGCAGGGGGGGCAGTACCTGTCATTGCACAGAGCAAATGGCCCTCAAGTGACGATCCTGATGAGATTTTGGGTCGTACTGAATAAAACATTAAGTCCAAATTAGTAAATGTTGGCCTGTGTATCAGAAAGAGGGAGAATCCTGTATATGCTCACTAGCTATCACAAGCCAATGACCATCACATCCCATTTCAAAATGTCAAGATGGTGAAAAAAGCTGATCTCAAGTCCTCATAACAAGATGTTGCCGAATATCAAAATCCATTTTTAATACTGTCTGACGAATGCATTAAAACAGCAACCCCACTGTGTGAGCTCATAGGTATTATTTGGATTGGTCCACGACTGGGCTACTGTGATACCACATTATCACTTAGCAGTTAGCAGTGCATGCAGGTTGTGACAGTCTACAACTGCTTAAAAACCTAGAAAATGAAAAAACACCCAATTATTTAACATATTTTATTTTTTAAATATCACGGTTCCCTTTAGTACGCAGTTAGCTTGACTCTCATGCTTGCAGCTGGTGACTTTTAAGCACCGATGACTAAAAGTGAGAGAAAATTTGATTCGTTTTCATTTTCATTAAACATGAATATTCTCCATCTTCTCAAAGGAGAACTTTTGGCATAAAGTAATTGTTTTTGGTAGCTTTCCATATGTGCTTTGTGAGTGACCTTAGCTGTAAAATATTTGTCAAGACCCTTAAACTTTATCACAGTAACCAAAGAGCGCTCCGCCATGAGTTTATTTATATATTTACACCACACAGATGTTCTTCGCTAATGGCGTGCGGTGTTTGTTTATCTTCTGCGTCTTGTTTGTTCAAGCTGCTGGCAAGATTGCAAGGGAGGAGGGCAAGCACGACCTGGGCTCTACGCCCGAAGACAGCTTCCCTGACAATCTGAGAATCCCGCCCACCACAGCCGAGCTGGTCAGCAATCCTCACAGCAGCAGGTCAGAACGTGGCCCACACACACACTCACACAAACATGGCATTACCCTGCAGACGTTGTTTATAGTGCTGGAATTTGAGCTTAATGGCATGCAGCCAAATTGTGCCTCTGCATTCAGTGGTATTACTCATAATAATTAAACCGCTGTTTACGGATTTTAGTTACATTTACATTACCATGATGGGACTTTGTTTCCTAAACGGGCCTTGTTACATGATTAATGTTCGATTCACTTTGCTTTATTTTTATTTCTTTCTCTGCGTCCTGTCTGTCGAGTACATTAGCAGAACTGGACATTTCTACTTCAACTTGCCGCCTCTGACTCGACTTCCTAGAACGACAGGAGGCCAAGCTGGAGGTTGCAGACTTGGAGATGCTAAGATTTTTGTTGGGAGTCACCAGGATGGACAATAAGTACAGCAAAGGGACGGCTCAGGCTGAGCGGTTGGAGACAAAGGCTAGGACAGTTTGGACGTTGAGGATGAGGAGGGATAGTGGATATATTGGTCAAAGGATGCTGAGTATGGAGGTGCCAGGGCAGAGGAAAAGAGGACCACAGAGAAAATTCATGCCTGCAGTGAAAGAGGACGTGCAGAGGGTTGTTGGTTGACGCTGGGGGTGGAGGGTAGGATGGAAGCAGATGATCTGCAGCCGATCTGATATGGTGTCGGTGCTGTTCTTACATCATCAGAATAATGTATTCAGCCAAGAAGTTAGCTAATTCTTTTAAAAACTATCCCTCACAAGCCAACCCAGGTTACCTAATTTCAGCTAACAGCAAGGCTAACTTGATAATATATTTGTAATATTGTATATATTAACTAAGAAAAGAGTTAAGAAAAGATTATTATGATGATGATGATGATGATGAAGGAACACTATATTTACCTTCTAATTGATGTACTGGACAATCGAGCCGTTATTAAAAATAATGGTTATCCATTAGCCATTTTTACACATGAAATAATGAAGAAGTTTGAAAGAAGAAGTAAAAAAGAAAGAACCACGTAATATTTATTGTTCCATGAAGCAATCAATAATTAAAGCAAGTGATGATTTATGATTTTATTCTCTCCCGCTGGTATAAACATGCTACGTGTTCCTTGTACTAATATGGTGCCTGTTCTCACACTCGCTTTATACCTGGTGCAAAGAAACAATTTGAGGCAAGCATCTAGGCCAAGGACACTTTGATGTGTGCTTTTGAGCAGCTGGGATTGAACCAGTGACCCTGGATGACAAGCTCTGACTCCTGAGTCTAAATCCCTTCATGCTAGAAGTGAGAAATGCTTCCCCGGTGTCTCCCTCTGTTCGTGCAGCTCAGCGGTTCTGTCTGTCGGTGCCACCGCACAATAGGCGATAAACACTATAGTGGGCGGATGGCACTGCATGAATCAATGTTAACGTGTATGGAATCTCTGCCATTGGGGTTGTGACTGTGGTGCTAACAAGTGTGGAAACCCTGCATAGCCAGTGTTTAAAGATCCCCGGTGTTGGGCTCAGAAGTCATTTAATTTCCCTTTAAAGGAGACAGATGATTTAAAATACGCCACAAAAAAGGATTTTTAATGATTGTGTTTTGCAGATATTTGCAAATCACCCTTTTTCTATTTGATTTTACCTCACAGATCAACCAGTGCTTGTGTGAGTCCCTTGGCTGAGTGCGAAGCAGGTACGTGCTAATAAATGAAGTTCAGCATAATAAAAACGCTCTGTGATATTCGGCTGTGTGAAGTTACAAATGATTTGAGCCCCGAGTATTGAACAAAGGTTTCCCCCGTCCCCCGGAGTCGCTTTCATATCGCGTTTTGCAGTCTGATCCCTTCCAACACATTCTATCGTCTGCTTAAATCTGTTTTTACACGACCATAAAACACAGTGCTGACGGGAACTCGTGCAGAATGAACTGTTCAATCCCCGCAGGTCCTTCAGGAGATTGCATTCCTTTGAGGAGGATTAAAACAGAGCCTCCAGACGGGGAAATCATTCAAGTTACGGTGCCAGGTAAGCGAGCGCACGCTTGGCTGCCATTAAGTTTGAGATTCGTTTCTTTTTTTCACTCGTAGAAAAATACAATTGGAGCAGACGCGGGTTTTCTTGCATTGTCATTGAGATAGAAGTCACAGAGACACAGAAACCTGGAGACTGTTTTCATCGTTGGTGCTGTCCCTGTGTGTGATTCCCCTTCTTTCACTCCTTTGTTCGCCTGACAGTTTTGCATTTGCCAATTTTGATTAGTCGGTTCCTGTGGGTGAGCGCTTTCTGTCAGTAGCCAAATCTGATACCCAAATTTGTTTGGATAAATTCAAATGCAGCCAAAGTGAGGAATCACAATTAGAAAAGGGGGAGCCAACCTTGGATCATAAAAATGAAGAGAAAGCCTTGGCTGCTATTGCATTTACTCTTCTTATTCGATTTTAAAGTTTTAAAAAAAGAAAGAAAACAATTTTTGCTTGAGTCTCTCAGTGAAAGGCTCGTTCATTGAGAGTCAAAGCTCTGCTGTTTTGAGCAAAATCAGACATTTAAAATAAAAACTTAAAAAGAATAAAGCTTCATTCATGTTTGTAGTTCCAGATTCATTATATATTCTTCATTTTTCTTTTTTATTTAATTCCTCACAGTGTAGTGAGTTACACTTTTGCTTAGTAAGTGAAAGATCCCCAGTAATCCTCCTTTCTATCTCACCATGCGCACCAATGCCTCCCAATAATTGTTGTGTGGACAAATGAGACACATTTTAAGACGTAGTTTCATTATTGTGAAAAACGTTTTAAAAAAATAAAAATAAAGGATCAATCTATTAAATCCAGCTTGTTTGCAATGTTTTAAAGGGGAACTTTGTTGGGTGTGTGAAGAGTTTGAAAGCACTAGCTGAGGTTCATGCTTCCATGGAAGCCTTCAAACATATTTTGGTTTTGCAAGATTAAAGACTTTGAGGGTGGAGGATAAGTGATTGGTTCTGTCAGTTCAACTTCCCCTGCCCAGTTAAAAAGCATGAAGTTCCTGCCCTAAATTCTCAACTGTTTAAATGAATGCACTGAAAAACAAGGCTGGGTGATTTCAAGCTAACATCAGTAACAGGAAGCGCTGAGATAACAGCAGAAATGCAGCAGCAGTGCAAGAAGTGTTGCAGCTCCACTGTGTCCTGCTGCTCTCTTGTCTCCGTTGCACCACAAACTGAAAACCTGGTGTGAATACTGTTTGTTTCTCCAGATGCCGGCACGAGTGGGGAGGAGCCCAGCGAGTCTGTGGCCGAGCCCGTCGCCGCCGCACCGTGTCCAGCCACAGCCTCGCCCTCTGCTCCATCTGCCTCGTCTGCCCCGCCCCCCGCTCCTTCGGCTCCCCACCACTCAATGGAAAACCACGCAGGTAACCTCTTCCCCGTCAGCCCACACCTCCATTGTCGCCTCCCTCCTCACACTGTGGCTCCTGGAATGCCAGCTCCTACCAAGGCCTCCACATACTGTTTTGTAGGGAGCTAATTAAGCCACAGCACGTATGAAACCACTTTTCTCACGTTCTTTATCTTCCACTCTTCCACTTCCTTATGACCAAACCTCCCCAATCACTACTAGCCACTCCCACAACCTTAAATATACCTTCTCTCCCCAACTCTGACCTACTGTAGCTTGTTTCTTCCTCCAGCCTCACAACGACGATCTGTGAAATGCACCCTGCATCGACTGCAGCTTGTCAACATACTCTTTAGCTTTAAAATCTGGGCATGCGCATAACTGTCAGTGTGTTTTACATGCACCAACTGCTCGAGCGTGGTCGGACTCCAACCGAAGTGTGTGTTTTTTGTTTTGCCTTTTTAAATATTTGTTTTTTAAATGTTTGTTTGTTGTGAAAGAGTAGACATCAGACCATCCTAAGGCCGCGTATGGCACATAACTCAGGACGCCTTACAGCACTGACTCCTAATGCTACAGCTAGTTCATTTTCATAGACCTTTTTCTAGACTAAAGGTTCTCTTTTAATCATCTTGGTAGGCTGTGCTTGATTTCAATTTGTGTCACTGCAGCCAGAGCTGACGCTGGGTGGCGTAACAAATAGCTGCTTTGTACCAAATATCCTCAAAAACAGACTGGGGCTTCTGTTTCACCTTAATTCAGAAGGTAGGCGGTTTTTGAAGTGCTCCCACTTCACCTACGAAGCACCGGCTGCACGGAAACATCGCCTCATAGGGGTGTGCTGTCTTACAACACTTCAGCCGGTTGTTAATTGTGTGCCCTTTGCCCTTAAGAGTCCAAACTGAAACGTTTCAGTGATTAGCAGGATGCATGGTGCATATTTGCAGATTTTGAGTAATTTTATCCACTAGTCCAGTTTTAGAGAGACCAAACTTTTCCTCAAAGGTCCTGTTGAGACTCCTAAATCCTCCTCCCCGTATAGAACTCGTTCTCTCCCTTAAACCTTAGGTTAATAGAGTAAGGTCACCAAGAACATCTGAGTAGACGCCACTCTCTTTATCAACTGCACCCGCCTCATTTACCAGGTGCTTCTATAATGTGCCAGGGTCATTCAGATTGCAGACAAATGCATGCAGATGTATGTCTGAGGTTTCTGACTGCCCCGCTGTGATGGAGGTGAAGGACATTTAATTGTGCAGCTGGCAGCATTTAAAGATTAGACTGAGAAATAAAAAAAAACGGCAGCATTTCTTTGCTTTCAACAGTTTTCTCTGTTTCTGGGCAATCCACTTCACTTTCACCAGTTTTCATTCAAGCTTTTCATTCAATCTCGTTAAAAGTGCAAGATTTCAAAATAATATTTCCAATCTCCTGTGATCAAATTCCATTCACACATTCTGTAGTAGGATGGAAGCAGAAATCTCTGCCTCTACATTTTCTTGAATGGACACTTTAAAGTTTAGGACTCTATTCTTTCTCTGGAAAATTCCTGCACTATCAATTACATTGTCCAAATGTCAAGTGCAACTTTCTTATATATAAATTAACATATAAATGAGGCCCTTTTTTGAACATCTGAAGGAGGTGCTGCTACAATGCTACAGAGAGTCTGCTCAGAGTGATCTTGGCATTAAGCATTTTGTTTTCTTTTATTGATTTCATTGTGCTTTGTTTAAGTTTTCTTTTCTTTCACAAATGACCTCTAAAGGAAAGACAATGAAGGTAAGTGCACTCAGTCACATTTAATATTATTTGCACCTCCGTCATTTGTCAAAGTATTTGAATGATGGCAATTTGCATTAATTTTCAAGGTAAAATAGGTCTGATCAAGACAATAATCCCTTTTGCATGAATGACATATTCATATTGCACATATGAGAATACCCAGTTCACTTTCCTGTAGATACAAATCACATCCTTTTTTAAAAAGTCCTGTTTGCCCTTAAGTATAGTGAAAGGTTTGACTTGATGATCTTCACAAAACTGCAGTTCCACTCTCAAGTATTCCTGTGTCATAATAATTGTCCATTGGCTTCTTCAGCACAGATGACATACAGTATCTTTCTTTTGACAGTGTTTTTTAAATTTTACATTATTGTTCCCACTTTTACCTCAACAGGCTGGATTTTGATGCATTTTGAATTTTTTATGTTGTGTTGGGCAAAGGGAGCTCTGTTGTGAGTCTGTTGTGGTTGCATCATATTCCTTTTACAGCTTACACAGATCCTCCGTCATGTTATGATGGATTAGCTACACAAGCTAGATGTAGCTTTCAAATAGTATTGCTTTAAGTTGTCTTAGAACACGCTCAAAGTGGGGCGGCTGTAGCTCAGGTGGCAGAGCAGGTCAGCCACTAATCAGAAGGTCGGTGGTTCGATCCCAGGCTGCCTCCTGGCTGCATGCCAAATATCCTTGGGCAAGATACTAACCCCATGTTTGCCTACTGGTGGTGGTCAGAGGGCCCGGTGGCGCCAGTGTCCGGCAGCCTCGCCTCTGTCGGTACGCCCCAGGGCAGCTGTGGCTACAATGTAGCTTGCCATCGCCAGTGTGTGAATGTGTGTGTGAATGGGTGAATGACTGAATGTAGTGTGAAGCGCTTTGGGGTCCTTAGGGACTAGAAAAGCACTATACAAATACAGGCCATTTACCATTTACCAAAGTAATGAGAGAAACATGGCTGTTACCAAGTGATGAAAACTGTAGTGTTCAGTTTTTGCAATGTATTACAACAGGACCAAAAAGTATGGCTTAAAACGGTTCAACGTTCCAGTAGTAATAATCACATGGATATTCAGCAGATTTAGCAGAAAGACTCATAAGCCCACATTAAACAGACATCCTGGTGGCTACTCTGCAGCCATCTTTATGATGCCACGTTGTTTGGAATACTCAATCGTACATGGGTGGAGAGAAATTCATTTCAATTCAGTTTTATTTATATAGCACCAAATCACGACAAGTTGCCTCAATGCACTTTTATATTGTAAGGTAGACATCCTCCAATAATACAGAGAAAACCCCAAATGTCTGACAACCCTCTATGACCAAGCACTTTGGCGACAGTGGGAAGGAAAAACTCCCTTTTAACAGGAAGAAACCTCCCGCAGAACCAGGCTCAGGGAGGGGCGGGGCCATCTGCTGCGACAAGTTCGGGAGAGAGAAGGAAGACAGGATAAAAGACATGCTGTGGAAGAGAGACAGAGGTTAATAACCAGTATGATTCAATGCAGAGAGGTCTGTTAATACATAGTGAGTGAGAAGGGTGACAAGAACTGAATGTGTGTCTTGGGACTTTAAGTAGACACCCATGGCAACAAATCCACACAAAAGTGCCTACAGTTATCCAGGATCCTTTTTCTGTGAGGCAACAGTGCTGACCTCTGCGCTCCACCGTAATTGACTTGCTGAATGCTGGAAACATTCATCACCTTGGGCTGCGTTGCCGGCAATAACTCAGCCTCGTTCCCAGCTGGTGTTGGACTCGCCCAGGGCTGCCCTTTGTCTCCGTTTCTAGGTGGAGCAAAGTGGCAGAAGGCTTCCACTTTGGTGGCCTCAGGATCTTTTTTCTGCTCTTTGCAGATGATGTGGTTGTGTTGCCTTGTTCAGGTTGTGGCCTCCAGTTCACACTGAAGTCGTTCGCAGCCGAATATGAAGCTGTGGAAATTAGACCACCCCGGGGAGGAGTGCTGGATCAGGGACTGCCCCAAGTGGAGGAGTTTAAGTACCTCAGGGCCTTGTCCACGAGTGAGGGGAGCAGGAGATTGACAGGCAGATTGAGGCCACGGCTGCTGTGTTGCGGATGCTGCAGCGATCCATGGTGAAGAGAGCTGTGCGTAACAGTGAAGCTGTTGATTTGCCGATCTATCTACATCCCTACCCTCACCTATGGTCAACGAGCTTTGGGTAGTGACTGAAAGAATGAGATCTTGGACATGAGCAGTGAAAGTGAGCTTTCTCCGAAGGGTTGCTGCCCTCTTACTTAGTTAATCAAGAAAGTTGAGCCGCTATTCCTGCACATCGAAAGGAGCCATCAAGCATCTAACAAGGATGCCTTGGACGCTTCCTGGGCGAGGTGTCCCACCACATGTCCCACTGGGAGGGGGCCACTGGGTGGACCCAGGGCATGTTGGAAAGAGTATATCTTTCCATCTGATAAGCTGGAGGTGGAGCACGGAGCTGTGGGCTTCTCTGTTTAGGCTGTCTCCCCCCTCGACCCAACCCCAGATGAACGGAAACAAATGGATAGATGGGAAAAAAACATTTTATAAACCACTTTCTTCCTCCTGTTGTTGATCACAGATTTAAAAGTCCTGCCCTGCAGACTCCACACATAACACATCACGAAAAAAAAAATCACATTTCCACCTCTGCTTCTGGGCTAATGGCAAAACAACACCCCCACCGCCCATTCTCGTGTTTGTATGTTTAACACTGAGCGGCGATGTTGAATAACGACCTTGGACAGGCGGTATGATATGTGTTCTTGGCGGCAGTTTGCCTGGAATCATTAATTAAAGAACATTCAGCGTTGCCCTACTGTAACAGTAATATTCCACTGACAGAAAATGGACAATAACATTGAATTATCACAGTCTCATATGTTGCACCTGTTGTTTTGTCCATCCCCTGTGTGTACTGAGGGTAGACATGAGGTGTCAGATAAAGAGTTTAGCCTTCACAGATGTAATCATTGCTGCACAATGATGTTAGGCATGCCTCAAGTCAGAATAGGACCAGCGCTAGTCTCTGATGCAGTAAAGCAACAATGTGACGACTCAAGAGATTGATTGACACAAATAAAACCGTGCATCTTTGGATAAACTGTCATAGAAATGTTTTACAGTAGCCGTGCGCCACTGTTCTCATGCTTTTCTCACATCTTGCAGCTGAAGCTCTGTCACCCACTGCTGCCCCGCAGAGCATAAGAAGATCTTCTGAAGGTAGGGTGGACTGACTCATTCAGGATGTTTTTCTGCACAGTGCATTTGGCCCACACTCTCACTGTGTGATTGTCTGTAACCTTGCCAAAGAGGCAGATTAGAATTAAATAAAACTCTAACCCAGCGTCCTCACCTTTGGAAATATTTCTGTTTTGCTGTTTAGTCTCATTTTTGCACCTTCACCACTCTGCCTCCCTACATCCATCTGCGGTTAATGTATCACACTCTACATTGACCCGGTAATGACACAGTCAGTTTGTCATTACCGGGTCAGCGCAGGGCAGGTAGAATTTATCAAATTGAAGTTGGCAAGTGGAGATGTAGTAATGTTCACAGGTGGGAAGCTGCCTAACCCCGTCGACCCCAAGTAATAATTCTTTTTCGGCGCTCTCGGCGCAAAGCTGTTCGTTTTTCATTTGCTTGACTCTTTCAGCAGGGAGCCTGGTGGAGGACATCGGTGAAATGATTCTTCAGCTGCGGAGACAAGTGGAGAGCATCTTCAGCATTAAGTATGGTAAGCTACCTGTAGCGGGGGAGCTTTTATCCTCATCTGCAGCGGGGGCAGGAAGTTATGCCAGGGCTATAAATTTTGCAGGAAGACTTTGATCTCTCCTTAACCAGTGTACAGCAATTTAAAATCTAAGCTTTTAAAATCTATCTGAATATTAATATTGGAACATTTAAGGTTTTCAATAATTCAGCACATGAGAATGAATCTGTTAAGTGTGGGGCAAAGGATGGGGCATGAAAAGGAAGAATCTCATTTTCACATCAGAGGAGTTAAAGCATAAAGACACAAAGTATTAGTCGCCTTTTAGAAGGCGGCATGTCACAGCACGCCAGCGACTCTCTGAACATAGACATGCGTGCGCTAAGAGTGAGTGTGGGTATTTGTTCGTATGGGTAATTTTAACACGGCAATGCTCAAAGTTATTAACGAGTTCTTCTTATTCCCTTTAAATACAAAGAAAAGTTTCAGTTCTTAGTTTAAAAAGGGTTTTAGTTCAGCCGGCTGAGGGACTGATGAGCACATGACAGATGAGGCGAGACATGTGCCTGTCCATCCACACATTACAATAACCTGTGAGCTGGATGAGCTTTCTACGTCACGTTAGGTTAATGTGTCTGGAAAAGCAACGTGAGCATGAGACTGAAAACGAGCTAAAAATCGGGTTGTTTTTGTTATTTTTTGATTTTAGTTTTTAAAGCTATCGTTTTATAATAGATTTCCTTGAGTTTAGAAATATGGATGGTGCTATCGCAACATTTGTCTCATGGTGGGTGTAGCCATGTGACCGTGTAGCTTTTTAGTTTGCTGGTGTGACAAACGAGGGTCGGATCTGACCGAGTGACAGGGGGACGGTGCAGACGGTGCAGATGCCCCCCGAAGCTTATCCTGCTTTGCCCGTGTTGACTTTAAATTATGGGGGCCATCATTTACAAAATAAATGTCACTGCCTTGGCTTTTTGTGTTGTCTCTTTTGGACTTTGATCAAAAGCTTTCAAATAAAACTTGCTTTCTATTTTGTTTTTTTAATTTTTAACCCCTATTGTAGCAATCATGTTGTATTCAGTAAGGCCTGGAACTACAGAACAAAACCATAAACTTTCATCTTTCCATCTGTCATATGTTTGTGTTACTCTAAGAACAGAGTAACAGGAGTATTTCACTCACTCAAAAATGCACAAACATTTGGACTTTGTTAGTGTAATTAATCTGCACAGCTTGCTATAATATTTGTGAGATAACCGCATTAAACTCTACAAATGCAAGAAGTCCAGTTCAGCGACTCCTCACAGCTATAGCCGCCTGTATCACCCACTTGAGCCTCAGTAAGGGTACTTGTGTAAAAGGTGACCCTCTCTCTGTAGCTGTTAGAAGGCGTAAACTAACCACAGAGATCAAAACTGTCGAGCCAGGCTGAGATGGCCATTTGAGATGCAACTCGACACTTTCATGTTAGCTCCTTTATTGCTGCTTGGTTAAAAGCAGCAATAAAGGATTGCTGTGATCATGGCTCAAGAGTTGGGAGTTCGCCTTGTAATCGGAGGGTTGCCGGTTCGAGCCCCGGCTTGGACAGTCTCGGTCGTTGTGTCCTTGGGCAAGACACTTCACTCGTTGCCTACTGGTGGTGGTCAGAGGGCCCGGTGGCGCCAGTGTTCGGCAGCCTCGCCTCTGTCAGTGCGCCCCAGGGTGGCTGTGGCTACAATGTAGCTTGCCATCACCAGTCTGTGTGAATGGGTGGATGACTGGATGTGTAAAGCTCTTTGGGGTCCTTAGGGACTAGTAAAGTGCTATACAAATACAGGCCATTTACCATTTTAAAACTGTCACACAAATTTGGTGTTTTTGCAATTTTCCCCAGATTTCAGAAGACGGAAAGAAATGAGATGAATTGGAATAAGACGACTTGAATGAAATAGATCAATAAGCTTTGTGCTTGTTTTTCCTGTTTTTCCTTCTTCAGCTGAAGCCCTGGGCCTTCCTGAACCAACCAAGGTGCCGTACTCCAAATTCCAGATGTACCCTGAGGATCTGTATGTAACCGGGCTGCCAGAGGGAATCTCTATCCGAAGACCCAACTGTTTCGGAGCAGCCAAACTACGCAAGATCCTGGCTGCCAGCAGTCAGATCCAGTTTGTTATCAAAAGGTGAGAAATAATTATATATAGAAAGTCATCTGGAGAGTGTAGCGGTGCGTTGAAGTGTGTGTTATTTCAGTTTTCGCTCTCTGATTTGTAAATATCGTCACAATCTTTTGCTCATCTCTAGACCCGAGCTCTTAGCTGAGCAGGTAAAACAAGAGATGCCTTCCATCCCGATCTGTGATTCAGGTTTGTCTCTTTTTATACTTACTTTCTCATCAGCAGCATCTTCAACCCAAACTAATCACACACATATGCAGTGTTAAATTTTGATATGTTTGTTTTGTCCTCTGCAATACACGGTTGAAGTTTTAAGGTCAAATCCAGTTCACAGGCTATTTTTAAAACGGCTCCTTTGAAGAACAACAGAAAGTCCTTGCAGGGATTTTTCTGCAGCTGCCTCCTCTTTATTTGTGACAAAGCTCCTAACGTTTGCTTTATTCAGTAAGTCTTAAGACGACAAAAGTTTAACCTTTAAATGTTTTTCTCCAAAGAGCTGGATGCCAAGGATGCAGCACCAGTAACGGAGGACACTGCGGCTGTATCCAAGAGACCTGGATTCTCAGGTACGGTCGAGCTGCATCAGTCTTCTTAGATTTGCCGTTAACTGTTTAAACACGAATTGCCTCTGCTCGCTGACGTTGAAAGCCAGATGACATATTTTAAAGTGTCTTCGTCCTCTCGTCAACAGAGTGCTTGGAGTCCAAGCTGTCCAGAATCGACCTGGCCAACACGCTGCGAGAGCAGGTCCAAGATCTCTTCAACAGGAAGTATGGGGAGGCATTGGGCATCAAGTACCCGGTCCAAGTGCCTTACAAAAGGATCAAGAACAACCCGGACTCGGTCATCATCGAGGGCCTTCCCCCCGGCATCCCCTTCAGGAAGCCCTGCACCTTCGGCTCCCAGAACCTGGAGAGGATCCTGGCTGTCGCTGACAAAATCAGCTTCACCATCACCAGGTGAGAAATGCTGATCACTCTAAGAGCTGTTTAATATTCTGACTGGTAATGATGCACTTTCCCAGTATATTCATCTGTGGTGCTAAACCAAAATAACAAGCTACAAAATGCACAAATTCAAATGTTTTCATCAAATAAGATCCATATCTGTCTATCGGTCTTCCTTCCTGCAGTTAATGGCTTGGATATTTATTACTGTCTTTAAATATATGTCGGCTAATTCTGTTCATTGTGCTTGTTTCATTGTGTTGCATGCAGACCATTTCAAGGACTTATTCCAAAACCAGGTATGAGCACGCTGCGCTTTGCTTTCATGACATCTGATTTATTACGCAGCATCTATCACAGAGAGCAAAACAACATTTAATGTTACTAAACATATTTTTCGTTGACTTCCTCAGCACCTCGACGAGTCACTTTACTAAAGAAGGCCTACGCTTCAATAAATGGTGAGGAGAAAATGCTTTGATAGCATCCATTATAAATGCTGCGGCTTTTATTTTGAATGCTGTCTGTGACCGATTCTCTCCTCCTGACAGATGATGACGACATTAACCGCATGGGGGAGAAAGTAGTCCTTCGAGAGCAAGTCAAGGAACTCTTCAACAAGAAATACGGTAAATAGATCCGCAGCGTGGAGCTGTTGTTATCTGTACAAGACGGATAACCTTTTTACCATGAACCAGTTTCATCTGCATGATGAGTCCAAGTCGTGGGCGTGTTCAGTTTAATTCTCACAACACAGGAGAAAAACAACACGTCCCTTATTGCTCAGGGTGAGCCTCATAAGTGAGACGTGTGGCTGGAAATTTAAATCCAGAATGTTCGTCCTACTTGTTGAATTAGGGGCAAGTCTTATAAATGCATGCTCCAAATTTCACTCATGAAACGTGGCTGTTAAGTTTTGTGGAGCAATTTCAATACAGGCTTCACACAATTTGGTATAGAAGCCTGAAGAGGAAAAAAAACAAACAAAACAAAACAAAAACGGTGCTAATGTCACAGCAGTGCCTTAAAAATACAACATTTCCACATGCATAGGGTCCACGGGTGGAAAGTCTGCACGGTAAACAATAAAAAACCTCTTATCAAAGTGGTGTCTATAGAGAGATTTAGTGCAAACTGATTTATTTTAGTTTGTGTGGCAAAGAAAAACTTCACATGTTGAATTGTTGTGCACCTAACAAATTTCAGCATTCTTACTTCTTATTTATTGAGGACCACAGGTGTAACAGCTCTGCGATAGGCCCCGCGGCTGATACGCTCTTTCATTTTGGGCCCTTACCACCACGCAGTGCTTCAGCAAACACGTTACCTCACGTTCTCGCTCACACGAACACACAAACAAATTTAAGTTATAAAATATTGTCATGTAGCAATAATCAGTAACATCTGTAGGATCATTCCAGCTTTGAATCAGCACCACGGACAGCAACCGCAGTCAGCGATCTTGGGAGCAGACAAACATCTTCTTCTTCAGCCAGGCTAACACACGCTTTGGTTGCTAACTTATTACTGTGATGATTGCAGTGTATGAAGTTCCACCTTTGTTCAGGTTATAATAAAAGATCTCAAAGGGTAATAATGCTGCACCTGCACCTCTGCTTAAGAACTTTTAGCTGCTGTTATCAAAATGAATGAAGAACGCTGCATTTCTATGCACGTTTCATACCTACAGTATGCCAGTTACAGGCATGAGTTTCTTTATTCATGGGAAAACATGTGCCTGCATGCTTCTTATTTTTCACAGGAAAAGAAAAGGTGTCACACTGATCGTGCCGTTGTTGTTTGTTCTGTTTAGGTGAGGCTCTGGGCTTAGATCGCTCCGTCGTGGTCCCGTACAAGCTAATCCGCGGCAGTCCAGAGTCTATAGAAGTTAGTGGCCTTCCAGACGAAATCCCTTTCCGAAACCCAAACACCTACGACATCGTGTGCCTGGAGAAAATCCTTCAAGCCGCAGATAAAATAACATTCAACATCAAGAGCCAGCTACAGTGAGTGCAGCGACACCGGAATGTTCAGCAGCGCTAGCCGTCGCTGCACCGTACATTTCAGCGGGAATTTAGGGTTTTGCTTCTCGGTAGTTAAGCTCATTATGGTTTATTTATGCTTTGGATTTAAATCCAGCCTCTAAGATGTCAAAGAATAAATCTTCCACAGCAAATGTAAATAAAATGAAATAGAAAACAACGTTTTGACATCCAAGCAGTTAAGCTATGATGAAAGAATGAAGGCAAAGCTTTAAATCGTGCACAATTCAGGGATTTTTTTTCTCTAGGTATCAAGTAAGTGCAGTCTGAATAGAGGGCTAATTAGAATTCAGGAATGTTTTTTATAGTTACAAAAAAAAGATTGGATCTTTAAAGAAACAAAAATGCAGCTACATCACCTAAAATGACCCGGCCTTTTCTCTCTCCTGTTCAGACCTTTTGCAGAAATCTGTAGCCAAGCTTGTAACACAGGTAAGTGTTACACAAACAACCTTCTGTTGATGGAAGTGAGGCTTTCTGTGCTGCGTGTGCCTCCAGAGTAAAAGCCTTTGCTTTGTGCCTTCAGTAGGAACAGACGCCTCCACTAATCGACGGAAACGCAAGAGAGTCCAGGAGAGCAACCAAGTGCCTGCCTCCTCCGACCTGGGAATATCAAGCAATCAGATTCCAGTGATGGTACATTAAATAAAATATATATTTTCTTCACCATATGAAATCATAAGCTAGTTGATGAATACTAGGACATCTTTATTCTTCTGTTCTTACTCACACAGGTCCTTAAAGACTCTTAAAAACCTTAAATACACTTTGATTTCAGAGCTACAGCATGCTGGCCTGCTGTTAGGGCAAAAATGCACTTTAATAAGGAAGCCCCCCTTTACCTCGACTTAACTGTAGCTTCGATCAGTCAGAGAAACTCAAGCATTTAAGACGCCTAACAGAATGCGTATCAGCTTAAGTGCAGTGTATGTGGAGCATTTAGCTGCTGTCAGACTGCAGCCATCACCAGTCCCGACAGGTGGCACAGCCTCTCTTCCTGTGACAGGTAGGTTTATAGTAGCGGTTTTAGCAAAGTGGAAGGTAAGCAGCGCAGCTATTCAGGACTGACTGAGAAAATGAGCGGTTATATATCAGCCGTGTCACTGACTCTGACGACACGATGTGTTAACGCGCACAAGGAGGAAAGGAACACAGCTAGCACTGCTAACGTTAGCCACGCTGTATCCAGGGATGTCAGGATGTAAAGTTTCAAACTCAATACTGATAACGAGGGAAACGGGGAAAACTTCGATGATCCATCATAACAGAACAAGATCCTGGCAGCAGGAAATAGGACAGGAGTTCCTTGTTGAACTTCCACGTAGGCTTCATGTATAACTGCGAGAGCTACAGCTCTGCTTGTTTTCTGTGCTTCTGGTGACTTGGTAGCATATTTACCATATTTATCCCTTTAATGTCTGGTAGATGTTTTAGAAACAACACATTATTAGACACAAATAGTTAAACTGATGCTCCCTGTTAATGTCCCAGCTCACACGTTAACTAGCCAGAACCACAATGGTACAATGATAACTGAACAAACGGAGAATGTAGCAGCCAGGTAACAGTTAAATGATGTGGTGACTGTTTAATGGTTCAGCGTCGTTGTACCAGGAACTTTTACTGACCTCTCAAATCCCTCAAAGACCAGGATGTCGGCGTTTACGATGCTTTGCAAAGGTTGTTTCAGCTTCGTTGCCACCACTTGGTTGTCTTGTTTGCATGCAGGCTTATTGCATCCTCGGCCTTTCCCTGGCATTTTGCTTCATATGCAAAGTCTATCATGCTACGCCAGCTCACTGACTGTTGGTGTGTTCAGCTGCTAGTGAGGGGTGGAGCTGTGAACTGGAGAAGGCAAAGATGGCACTGTTGGTGTTTTTTGATTGATTGATTGATTGATTTTTTGTGGGGGGGGTGTAACCTTTTTGTACCCATTAATTTCATTTTTGTTACATCCCACATTTCTCTATAATTTATTCCTCGTAGTTTGTTTATTTTAAACAAATAAAATCATTTAAGGGGATGATGATGTAGAGGTCTCAAAACTCGTGGGTCAAATATGATACACTTCGCCTTATTGGGTTAAAGCACATCTAATATCAGATCAGTAAAAAGCTGATGGTCCTCTCCCCATAAGTTCATGTTTTCTCAATCTTCTTAATGCGATAACTTCAAAACAAGATGACGTAGGATTGTGAAATTGATACCACAGGTGCGTCTACTAGGAGGCTGAGGAGTAAATTAGTGACTAGGCACGTCCTTCATCTGTGGTGATACCTCCATACAAATGGGCAGGCTAAGCAAACCAGAGAGCTGGCATAAATTGGATAATTTAGAAAAAAGCCAAAAGATATTGGCGTGAAAAGGCAGGAAACCCCGGTCGCTGATGGAGTCGGAGTCGATAAAACACCTTAAACTGCAGTAGATGACTGTGTGTTCAACTGTAAGTACTGAAATGTAATATTAAAACAGGTTTAGAGGCAAGGTCAGCAACATTTTGCAGTAATGAAATCATTTTCTCCACCATTATGCTTCTTCCCTGCAGCAGTGGCCCATGTACATGGTGGACTACAGTGGAGTGAACGTGCAGGTTCCCGGGAAAGTCAATTACTGAAGGAGGAACCAGGGCGGCAGCAAAGGGATTCAAGGAGGAGTTTGTCAACACTCGCCACTCTTCCACAGTGCAACACTAACACTTTACCAGTGCTACAACTTAACGATCTCTCCAGACTGAATACAGAGAGCTGCAGGTTTGACTCTGAGAATGATGCTCGAGTGTTGAGGAACAACAGAATGTATGTGGGTCGAAACGTTGCAGGGCAGATGTCGGCTCGACGGGACTGCTATCAGCTGGTCGCGACAGTAATCTTGTTGTTTTTTTTACAAACTGCAAATATTACCGACGTCGTGTTATTTGCCCTTGCATTTTATAAAATGAGTCATGCTGTTGTTTTCCAGCATTTGGTTGCAATGTATTACTGACAGAAAATGTCTTTCATAATGATATGGTTCCATATTATTCAGATATTTGTACTTTTTATTTATTATATTTATTATTAAAATATAACATTATGTGCAGGGATGTAAAATATATTATTCTGTTACACAGCTCTTCGAGGAACTATCAGAACACTAACAGATGCTACTAGCACTCAGTAACTACAGGTAACCGCTGAAAACATGATTAAAATGAAGTGTCTTAATTGGGTGTTGGGGTGACGGCAAGATTTTAGAAATTAAAGGAGACAAAACGGACTCAGTCTGCCCCACGGAGCAGGGAAAACCTCTGCTCGCATTGAAAACGAGACACTCGGTAAACAGCCTTTTTTATGTTAGCACTACATTAACGATTTGTAAAATATTGTCATTTTAAGTCAGCCTGAATGTATCATGTAAAGAAAAGAATGGTATGTTATTCTGCGGTGACTGTCTCTGGACTAACAATATTTAATATGCTGTACCTTAACGCCAATTAGGCCTTTGAAATAAAATGTGTTGCCTTGCACTTTCATTTTGTAGTAGTTTGTTTTGGTGTTGGCGAGGGGGGGGGGTCAACTTAATGAAAATGAAGAGGAGTGTAAAAAGCAAGACGGTGGTGAGTTGAGCCCATAATGAGGATTAAATATGATGACAAATAACTAAAAGCTGTTAGTCTAGGCTTAAATGTCAACGACAGGAACCTGAATATTGTTACTGTCGCTAGCAAGTAAGCAAAATTTGTATTTATGTTGTACCTTTCAAGATAAATATCACAAAGTGTTACAGAACAAACCTGCCGGAGCATAAAAACAAGAGGTCAAAAATATGTTTTTTTTTAAACAAAGAGTTTTTAGCTGCTTTTTAACAGAATTACAATAATTCAAACGTGACAAAATAAAGGCATAAATAATAATTTTCAATTCAGAGGATGACACAGTGGAAGTCAACTTGGCAATGTTTTTAATTGGTAAACTATGAGAGAGCCAGAGATTTAATGTGAGCTTGCAAAGTTCTTGATTGAACATTTAAGAAAAGTGGCAAAGGGACCTAAAATTTCCATCAGGCAAAATCTGTCAGGGCCCAAACGAGGGCTCTTGTTTTTTATTGAGTCGGAGAAGACTGTCTGCTAACCCGTGCTGGGCTTGTAATATGTAACTGTAGGCTTGACATATACAACTGAATGTCATCTGCGTAGAAGCGATAAGAAATATCATTAGAAGTCCTCCAAATGTGCTGATTTTGAAAAATCAGTTCTTGAAATGTTAAGTTTCTACTATTTACTCAGTAGACAAAAATTAATCTATCAGTATTAAGTTTAATAGCTCAGTAAGGCCCATGGATATTCCTATTATAAATAATTATATAGTCATATTTACCAATCGAAGTTCTCATTTAAGCAGCCTTATTTTTTTCAAAAATAATATCTCAGTCCTTGATTTAGGAGAAATTGCTGCATATTTATGTCCTAAAGATTTCCGTCACCTATTCCATATATAGGAAATGGACGAGCCGCGTTTAAAGCTCTTTTCCCAGATTAAAACAACTAGTAACTTTAGTAATTTTAGTATTTTGGAAGAGTGTTTTAAACACTACACAAATAATGATTTTCATTATATTTACTGTACCCCAGTACAACTCCATAAATGTGGGATAAAATGGCCAAAAACATGTGTCATTAGTAAATAAACATTATTTACTAGGACTGTTGGAGTTTGTAGTTTAGCACGCCGTTTAGTTTCCCACATTTGCTGTTATGTATTTAGTTCTGGTGACTGCGCTGGTTTTGTCAGTACTGGTTGGAAGGCCTGCTTTGCTTCCTCCTTTTCAGGTCCTAATTAAGAGCTGCTCCCTTCTAAAACAGGAAATGATGTCACCGGACAGACTAGACATCTGTCCAGGGTATACCCCACCTCTCGCCCTATGGGCCAGCTGAGATAGGCTCTAACCCCCATGAACCTGAACTGGATAAGCAGATGGAGGATGGATTGATGGATGGACTTCACCTGGAGCCTATTTAAGTTTGTTTCCTTCCAACATGGCTCTCTCTCCTCCTGGAAGGCTGGAACTTTTCAGGCAGCCAATTTGGTTTTCTTTCCACTTGATTGCGTGTCATCCCTAATTTAAGTTGCGTGTTGGTTGTAGGTTAGCACCAGTTTTCTTTTCTTCTTTTTCTCAGTTTATGATTAATAAATTGGCTTGGTGGAAGCTGTTGTTGTGTGGCTCTCCCTTCTATATTATTTCCTGCATGAGCCAGACAAAACAAGCTCGTTCACTGCAAATCTGCAAAATCCTTGAATGTTCAAGGCTGTGAAATCTATTGGGACTACAAAAAGACAGCATCCGATCCATAGGTCCACTAAGATGTAGTGGAGCTATGGATAGGAACTTTAAAAGAGCCTTTAAATACTAATATTACAGCAGCACCATTCCACCTCCCTCTAAGATTCTGTGATTGGATGTGTGCAAAGTCTGTTAGAGACTGTAAAAAAGTGGTGAGCCAACTTTGTTGTAAAATTAGGAGTGAAATCCCAAATATTGGGAACATTTGGGATTTCAGCCCTATATGAACTCAGTTAATCAAAGGAATCCGTACACAGCAGTACACCATTCATGAAAAAGGTGCATTAAAAAATTGCAAAAGTGCAATTACTATTATGAAGGCGGAATCTGCCTAAAGATTACAAAGATATCTCTTCATACTGAGCTGTAAACTTGTATTTCAGCTCTAAAGTCGGTCATTTTAACACGAAAGTCCATGGGGATTGGCTCACCACTGCAGTCTGCCTCAAGTGGCCACTCCAGAAACTGTAGTTGCGTCCAACTGTTGGCTTCACTGTTCACCCGGAGAGGTCGCTGCCTCCTGTCTTCCAAATTCCTTTCAGTACACTCCACTTATCCACCAGCCTTCACAAAAATGTGCCCCAGTAGTTTTCACCTCATCCTGCTAAAAAAAGACAAACTGACTCACAGCAGCACAAACCTAACCTTCTTGGCAGGGAAACACGGGACGTTATTGTTGCTATCCATAATTCTCTGCTTGCTGCAGGTAACTTAAAGCAAAAAAGCTCTTCTGTGCACTTAAGAGTCCATTAAGACAGAGTCAAAGTGAAATACCCTGCCAAGCGGTCATGTTCTCCCCTTAACATTTCCACTAGAAATAAATGTTTGAGTGGTTAAAGGAACATTTATTTAGCAGGAAGCAATGGGTTCGTGCTCTGCAGCTAGATAACTAAAACTGCTCAGAAGGCACCGAGCAGTGCCCTGAACACACAGGGCATACATAAAGACTCCTCGGCAGCTACGTCCTAAAGGCTTTGAAAGCACTTCTTGTTTAACAGCTTCTTGCTATGAATGATGGGAGCATAGAGTCACAACTAGAAAACAGAGATCCGTATTTGTGTTTCTTTTTAGCTCTTCTCGGTGGAATAAGCAGCCGTGGGATTGGGTGGCTGGGACTGAGCTATGTCTGAATCAAAAAGTCATGGCAGATGTTGTAACAGGAGGGGCTGGATTGGTTTCTTAGCAGCATCTGGTGACCAGGACCAGTAATAACCTGCAGCATTTCATACCCAGGGCCAAGTTTAAGCCCTAAAGCTGGCCCGTGTTTAAGCCTATTAATAAACCTGAACTCATGCCACAACTGGCGCCTAATGCAGGCACCTCACCTCTACTTGACCCATGCCTATTATTGCGTCATAACTAGGAGTGTTTCATGTTTAGACCAGTCAGTGGAATCTGATCAGAACACATTAATCCAGTGTCTGGAGTTAAACTGGAGGGGTTAGGTAGATAAAGCTTTTACATCCCCACTGAGCTTTAAAGGTACTTTATGTAATTTCCTTCTGCAACTTTAGATATAAATGTCACCACCAGGAGGTGGTGTTTTAACACCACCTCCTGATGGTGACATTTATAGCTGATTTAAATTTATAGCTGATTTAAATGGCTAAATTACCTCCTCAACATGTCTCGAAGTTCTCCAGAGGCCTGGTGATGAACTAATCATTTGATTCAGGTGTGTAGACCCAGGGTGACATCTAAAACCTGCAGGACACCAGCACTCGAGGCCTGGAGTTGCCCAACCCTGGTTTAGATTATGAGTGTCAAACATAAGGGCTGGGGGCCAGATCAGCGAAGACTCTAATCCGGCCCTACTTAAAAGCTGTGGAAAACTTTTATAAGTTTTACAGCTTTATCTTTACTGATAAAGATCTCCCCCATGATACACCAAAATATTTAGGTAATAGATAAAAAAAATTTAAATGACAGAAAATGTCATCTTTTTCCCTTTTTTTTTTTTAAACAATGATACACTGTAAAAATAAATAAAATATAATTTTCTGACAGCTCTGCAATTTTACATGTTTTTCTTACAATTTAAGAGATCAACTAATTTTTAAAAATAGTAATTTTTTTTAAACAGTTTCACTGATTTCTTTTCAGAAATTCATGTCAAAGTTTATGGGGATAATGTGTGGTGATAGAATCTACTTTTAGAGTAGGCCAGTCTGTTACTTAACTCACCTGATGCTATACTGATTTAAGTGTTGCCTTAATAGCTTTTTTTTTTAGCTTCACAGACTTCAGGTACAAAAAGAAAAACCTTACTTCCTCATCTACATTATTCTGTATCCTCAAATGACTGAAGAGGTGCTCATGCTGGAATTTCATCGTCATGGCAACGGGGAAGCAGCTGATACACAGACTCATTTTATTGCAGCTCTGCATCTTTACCAGGTGCAGGTGAAGGCTGAAGATAAGAAGTCAAGGTGATAAGCGTTGCCAAAGAACCTTTACCTCCTCGCTCTTTGATGTTTGGAGACTCTTTGTTTTGCTGGCAGATGTATGTAGACTTGATGGACGTCCATCCCGTCCAGCAGTCCATCCCTGCAATCCCCGATGTGTCCTAGTCAGATACCAGAACCACCTCAGCTGGTTCCCTTTAATTGGAGGAGCTCCTCTAAGTGTACTGAGGCCACACTTCCTGCAAAGGAAACCCAGCTGTCGTTTCACCATAACAAACAGAAGCAAATAATCAGGATAATGCGTTTTGCTGTGACCACCTACAGCACCATCAGACATCTCCCACCTTCATCTTCTTTCTGCCCTCTCTGGACGTGATTAGATGCCAATCTATAATGCTTCAGGGAGCCATGTATTGAGAGCCATTATCCATGATGATCACGTCGAGTGGTCATACAGCAGCTAATTAGCGGGGGTCGCATACAAGGACCTGAAGCACCTTAAAGTACAAAAACTGCAACACTACCCTGCAGACTGAAGCTTCATCAGCTCAAACAGATACTCGGATACAAGAGACGAACCAGGGCTCGTTTTGCATTATGTCTTTATTGCAGATATTTTTTTCCCCCCATTTTTTCTTGTTTGTATACATGTCAAGACTGAGTTGAGCGACTGTACTGCAGTACTGTGAGCAGAATAATGCATGTGAATACAGGAGGCGGCAACCCGCAGGATCTTTTTTTCTTTAAAATCGAGACGAGTCCGATGACCTTGATTGTCACACTAAAA